CATACACTGATGGGCAGGGGGCAAGGTGCCACCTGCCCATCAGGACTCCAATTAACCATTCACATGCATTCATACGCTGCAGGCACAGCCTCTGGTGGAAGGACGACCCGGTCTACCACTGAGCCACAGTCTGAAAGGTATGAATTACTGTTTTCCTCAATATAATCCCAATAGCAAATGTCCCACCATGCACATTTCCATGGCAACATATGCTGCTGGTCTCCAAGGTGTCCTGAGAGACATGACTGTTGCACTACTCCATGACAATCCTCTGTCTGTTCCCAGCTCTGCACACAGTAGCACACACACCGTATCTCTTACCAGCTCCTCAGGTCAGTGTCTCAGGAAGCCCTTCAGAAGCTGAGCTCTGACAGCAAGCTGCTGCTCGACACCGTCTCTGTGCAGTTTGCTCTCCCCATCTGTCACCGTGAGATTAGCCAACTGCTCTGACCCTTCCTTCAGGATTTGACCCTCAGCGGCTCGCTGGTGTTCAGGAGCTGCACCGGGACCAGCTGGCCTGACCACAAAACCCTAAAGGGACTGCCGGTGAGAGGAACAGCCGAGTCCACTCGGGGTAATCAACTAATAATTAGTTGTTGGCCTTAACAGGATGAATTATTGGAATATATATATATATATATCATAAACATGAAAGAAATTCATATCTTATTGTTTGCTGAACTGAACTCACAATCACAAAATCTGTGGACGTAACATTTAACAGCAACATTTATGAAGGTTAAAACGGTACTGAGTGACCAATCAACATTGCAGGCACATGTACTTACAACAGGTCACATGCATGCTGGGATCAATAGTGTTGGAGCACTGATACTGCACATTCAGATCAGCTGGACATGGACTCAATGGGAGACTCTGACTACTGATGCGATCAAAATTCATAATGAAAGTTCAAGGCACCAGTTTGTGTGTTTTAAGCTATTTGCATAGAATTGTGAGCACCTTTCATAACTGGTATTTTGCACAACACACACAGCACTTGTAGTAAATAAATTTTTACCTGCTGAAGCAGCCATTGGTTTCCATTCATTTCCACACAGTGTGATAATCAACAGACTGATTCTTGAGTTGAGCAATCTACCAAAGTGAATGGTAAGTCTGGTCAAAGTTATGCTATTGTTTCAAAGTGACACTTTGTAGACTATTACAATTATTCTGCACTTAAGCTAACTTTAACTTAACTTAAATACATTGAAACCCTCGAACTCTGCAGATTTATACAGCTGGTACAGTCCTTAAGGCTGATTATGGTTATGAAACACCATGTACAGTATTATAACCCTTTATTAGCAAAATGAAGTTTCCAATGGAAAAACATTGGGATTCTTTTGGGTTCAATTGGGGCAAACGTAAACAAAATGAGACTTTGCAGGTTTCAAGTCAGCAGAAAATCAAATATTGCATTAAAATGCATGAAATCCAGACACCTACTCTTCTGTTTCGATCCGTCTCTGTCACTTCCTCTTCGGTCACTCCTTGTCTAATCATAATCTTGACGATGATGGCATTGTTATTGCAGCAGGCCTTGAAGAATGAAATGGGCTCGGGGCTGTCGGGGCTCGGCGAGCGGTCCATGATGGACGCGACCGAATTGTCAGGGGGATAGAAAGAATCGTCCGACAGGATGCTCTGCGTGTCCGAGCGATCCGGCAGGGCCTCGAAGTCCAACTCCTCGAACTCCTGGTAGATTTCGTCCTCATCCTCCCAATAGTTTGGCCTGTAGTCGAGTTCACTCTCCTCGTTATCGGCCTCTCCCGACACCTCACACTCATCGCCATTTTCGTCAACATTGGTGAAGAACAAGGCAGGTTTATCCATAGCCACTTTATTAGTCTTAAACGGAATCTCACCCAGTTCCACGCCTCCGGACACTCCATTTTCCAGAACCTTCAAACCTTCACTTTGTTCCTCTGTTATTAACACCATTTAAACCTTTCCCTGCTGTCCCACTGGTTTCTTTTTTTAAATTCTTGCGAGGTGCCAGGATAACTGTAGGAAGACCTAGAGCCTGCTGCAATACATTGACTAATAGGGATAAGGTTCAGCAGAGGTCACAAAGGGGACATGAGATCATCACTTACGGTCCCAATCCTCAATCATTGTTGGATAAATGTTCTCGGGATGCCATAGAGATCAGGATTCTCCAGAACCCCACAAGACAATGTCATTTAAAACAGGTTTGATCGTATGCATGTTCTGAGGAAGTTGCTCTGGATTGGTGATGTGACCAAAGAGTGTCACATGTTCTGTCAGTCGCAATTAAAAAAATAAAAAGAAGTGTAGTTTGTTAAGCCAAAGAGTTTCCATGAGTTACAAATTGTGGAAAAGTCACGATCCTTCCCGATGGCACCAAAAGCCTCGTCCATCAAATCTCCTAATCGTGGCTTCAGAGCCCAGACGGGCAGCTTGAATTCTTGAAGTCTTGATGAGAAGTTAAAGCTAAAAGTTTTGCTCTGGAGAGTAGAACAGGCAGCCGTCTTGGCTGGAAACACCAACGGCCACCACTAACGGCAACTAATTGTGTTTCCAAAACGTTGAGCTTCCTTTGATGATGGCCGGCAATTGGATGAGACACATTCTCTAGAACTGAGCCACGGTAATCCTTTTAGTCGCTTTAGCTGTTGTGTCGTGTTCCCCTCCCTGGTGCCAGGACGGTTTTAATGTTTTCTGTTAATACAATAAAGTGTCAAATGTAATGGTACAGGCAAGGAGGGAATGTCTTAACTTTTAAAAGACTTGTCTACACAGGGAAAACTGAATAGAATAAGCTAGTGAGCCAGTGTGTTCTTTGTACAAGACGTTGAACGAGATTATGCAAAGTACATGCCACACATACCTGAACATGCACCACCACTCATGTACAACCTTTGTTCTGATTCGAGATATTCCTTATTAGAGAATAAATGTCATCAGTGCAACAGGTCAAGTCAACCTGCCGGTTTAAATTGGATTTAGCAACCTTGTGACCTAGTTAGTGTGTACAGGGTGCAGTGGAAGAGAGTTCAGGCCCTACGGTCACCTTCATCAGTGCCTGAAGTGCAATGCTAATCCAATCACCAATATGTAATGCAATATTTGGATCCCTTTTGATTCATAAATTACTTTTAGAATCAGTTAGGCAGTGTAGAATACAATGCTCTCACCTCTTACGGAAGCAGGTAACCGCCGGTTTATATTTTACAGGTTTTATTTTTATGGTTTACAAATTAAGACAAGAAAATTCAAGTTTCCAAAACTATCAGGTTGTTCATATTCTTGGCAAAACTTATTTTTTTGTAACCTGAATTTGTCTGATTGCATTGCAGCATCCAGAATAGTAAAGGTAATATACCTAAAATCAAGTGTTTGCATTGTCACCACGACTGGAAATGTCAAAGCGAGACATTGAAACCATATAAAATCAGATATCTTCAAAGTAACATATTTCTGTGCTTTAAATTCAGTGGTGTTAAAATATCAACATTAACCTTTCAGTGGTGGATGTCTTACAGTTGCTTATAACTTTTAAGTCATCTTATAAAGATCTCTGCCCAACTCCAGTACTTAAAGCGAGGTCAAATCCTTATTGGCAAAGGTTGTTGTTATTTTTGGCCGAGGTCTGAATCTTGTTCAAAGTAGTCCGCTGTGCCAGAGAGGATATATACGCTTCACACTCTTGAAGTCTGGTTTTACAATAGAAGGAAAAGGAATCAAACTCCTCATGACTCAGCAGGGGGGTGACTCACAGGCACTTTGCATTATGGGTTGTACCATTTGTGCTTTCCAAAAACAAAGTACAGATTAGAAAAATCGGCTTTAGCTTCACAGTAGAAGTCTTGTTTTAGCTGCATATGTTCCTAATATGCACTTGGTTTCCACAGCTGTTAAGACTGTGCATTAGCAGGAAGGTAATTGGATTCAGCAGAAATAACCTGACATCCTGTTTCCTGGAGCTGTTTCCCAACTGATCTACGGATAAATAAATAGATAAATAACTGAGGGCCGAATGTGAAAAGCAATAGGAACTGCCATGTGCTGATCAGTAGTGTACAGCCCATCACACAATCATGTACTACTATGAGTTGGAAGAAAAGAACAAGTACTTCTGTAATGAAGGCCCTCTCCATTACAAGCATGTGTGGACCGCTTCAAGGAATAAGAGACGCACACGAAGGGTTGAATGTTTATTATACTGTTGATTGGTTGGTGGTGGATGTTCTCAGGTATAATTATTGAAGACAAACATATTATTAGTTGTTACTTTATATGATCTCTATTGCGATGTGTAACCACAATAGAGATCATACCTTCTGTACAATGACAATAATGCACAAATGAGGCAAAGTTGTGATTTGTGATTTTGGGCTATACAAAATAAATTGAATTGAACAGAACATACTATACTATGACTTTTTATAATTTATTTCAACATAATATACCATGACGGTTTTGAGACTGTTTTTGACATACTATACTTGGACTACTTTTCGACATGTGAAATTTTAACATTTATGTTTTTCGACAAACAATGCCATTATATTTTTGTGATATTTTGTGGATATACTGTGACTTTTTTAAAGACATGTTTAGACATACTATACTGTGACTTTTTCATGATTTTTCCGACACTATGACGTTTTATCACCCTTTTAGACATACTATGACTTTTATGAACATTTTCAACGTAACATACTATTACTTTTTTTGGCGTACTATACTGCATTGGGACATATTATAGTATGGCTTCTTCTATTATTTTTTTTGGCATACTATACTATGTCTGATACTTTTTTGAAATACAATAGTACGACATACTATAATGTGACTTATGATAAACGACCCTATGACCTTTTTTTATTGCCGTCTTCAGACTAAACTATACTTTTTACACTTCATTTGACATCATTTACTATGACTTTAAGACTAATATCATTGAGAGTAACATTTGCTTGAGGATCATCTTGTCTGCAGCGTGAGGAAGAAACGGCACAGTGATCTGGTCATTTCAACTTTTTATTATCCTGTCATATTACTTAACCAACACTTAACAGACATTAGAACATACCTTCATGTCACAGTACATGCCACTGCCTTTTTTTGCACATATAAAAATAGAAATTCAAGATCAAAATTTGAAATGTCCAGCTCAGTTCAAGCAGATACTTAAAGGTCACTTTAAAGCATCATATTTATATAGAATGAGAGCATTCCACACAGCAGCACTAAAGTCAATTACAATCCATATCAATAGAAAACCACTTTGCCAAAGTCCAACATCAAAAACACAAGCAAAACTCTAATCCATCCTCGAGTGAAGCCGACTGTGAAGTAGCGACGTCTTTCAATCTGTTTGGGAGGGAAATGAAACGCGTGTGTTGACTGTTACAATGGAATCTGAATAGCAAACTGCTGTAAAACGTGCACATGAGCAATACATTTTAGTGTTCTTTAAGACGAATTCTGCAATGTTTTCTCTCTTTTCTCAATCGCAACGTGCACATCTCCCCCCACCTCCCCCCTCCCCCTTATGTGGCCGGCCTGTCTGACACTGGTGGCCCCGTTCACAAAAGCACATATTATGCAAATCATGTCATATTGCTTATTACTAGAGGTGTGGCCTGCTGTGTGCGTGTCGTAAAACTATTGTTTGTTAATTTAACAGCAAAAATAATAAGAATCTGAAGCATCATGCCCGTTCAAACTGCACATGGGCAAACTAGTGCTTACACACCTGTGGCTGAGCGCTCTCATGCACCGTACTGACTCCCTGATAATGCTACATAGTGAATAACAGATCTGTTGTAATAGAGGATTGTGTGTTAACAGCCGGTGGGCGGCACAGTCCGGCATGGCTAAATGACGGAGTTACATTTAACGGAGGTTGCATAGAGTTGCGTTCTGATGGGTTAAAGGTCCGTTGACCAACAATGAGTATTGGGCAAAGCAACATTATGTCAAATTGTTACAATGATGTGAAATGTGATCTTTTGATGGTTTGGAGATGTTTTCACAGCAATACAAAATAGATATTAGAATTGGGAGTTATGAACTTTTTTGTTTTTTAACGCACTGGTATTTGATCAGTACTTTCCACCGGCCGACATGCAAGTTTAGGTGTCATAACGTCTCTTATCAAAAGCAATCAACTAAACAGGAAGTCACTGTGGCATGACTGTAACAAAACGGGGAAGAAATGATTTCATAGAGAAATCCATTTGAAAGTGATGAGATGTGATCTGTAGCTCAGCAGGCGGCAGCAACGGACTGAATGATTACCGAGCACAGAAAAAGGAAAACCTGAGTTGTTGTAAGTTGGTTAACCGAAAAGAAACGCGTGGGAGCTTGCCAACCAATTTCCTGCATTTAATGTGGTTGGTTTGTACTCCGCTACGAGACTAAGTGAGATGAGGTAACTCTAGTTTGCCAAAACTACAGTAAAGTTCTATTATCTGTCAGCAGATTTGAGCCTTTCCACCCTCTTCACCCAACGCAAAGCAGTGTTGTGTTGTTCATGCGGTTGTTTTTTGTCTCCTCACAGCTATCAGAATGCAGACAGGCAGTTAAAGCTAATTAGCAGCATGACTATAGTTTTTTTTTATCCTCTCAGAATAAATATTTCTGTAAGATCAGTGTCACAGGCACATTCTGAAATGTTCGTAGACGGTTTTTCCAGTTTAAATATTCTCAGTTGAAAGCTCGCTTCATGACTTCTCCTCTGCTGAAGCTGACAGATGCTACACAACCCGTTGGTTTCTGAAATCCTCAGGTTATCAATCATACATCGACGTCTTTACTTTAAAAAAGATCTCAGGACTAACAGCTCACTCCAGAATACTACAAATCAACGAAAATATCTAAAAAGCAAAAAAAACAACAAAAAAAAACCCTCAATACAATCACATTGCTACATCAGGTACGTCCGTCCTCATCGCTGAGCACAGAGGCGTTCCTGTGACAGTCCATACAGCACCTCTAATAGGTCAAACACGTCCCATTGAGAGACACTCGGGGTTCGCTAGACAATACTTCACAACACACATTCCAAAGGGAAGCACAGTCTGAGGTAAAAGCTCAACGGAACCGACTTTAAAAAATATATATAATTACAACTTAAAATGCCAGCTGCGTTTAGGACTAAACGGACAAAGGATGCACAGTTTACCAACTGCGTGGTTCTGCTGAGTTTCAACTCTTTTTGCAGCTTGGCTAACAACCGTGTTCAGAAAAGGGTTTAGAGACTATGTTGTCTTCGCTCGTCAACGTTTTTTTGTTGTCTCCTGTCACCGGTGACGGCTAGGCTGCAGTAAGAAAGATTAGAGGCTTGGTGTTCTGACAGCCAAGCACGGAGAGAACCAAAACTGAAACAAAAACTTTCCCCACAGGGAAGGGCTGATGGCGCTCAGTGACGGGTTAGCTCCACTGATCCCACAGCAGCGTCGGGTCTACGAGGAGGTGCTGTACGAAGAGGTGGACATCCTCCTGCCCGTCTTGCGTTCGTAGTTCACGAGTCGCTGTCCAACCAGGTATCTGGAGGAGAAACGGGAAAGAAAGAGCCAGTTTGCAAATCACTTCTTAACATTTTAATGCACACAACTGATTTTTAGTGATCAGCTTCAGTTGGGGACTTTATTTATTGTGTTTACTGTAAGAGGAGCGAGCAGCTGCTCCCTCACCGTAGCCTACATGAATCTATCATGGCGTGCAATATGAATACCTGTCACACACTGCGTAGCTCTCTCACAGCACTAGAGCTAACTGACTGATACGCCAGCCCAACCACCGGCCGTCTACCGCCATCAGAAGTACTAAAGCCCACCTCCTTGCTTGATTTGATTGGCTGCGCTTTTTGTTTATTTGTATTTTTTTTATTCAACTGACTTGTCGTTCTTTATGTGTTCGTAGAGGCGTTTGAACTGTCGTATCTGGAAGAAGAGGATGGAGAGCAGTATGACCACCATCAGCAGGAAGGGATAGATCCTCCTCTCCACCAGCGTCTGCATCTCCGGCTGCACACCTGTAGAGGAAGGAAGGGGGGGGGGAAGAGGGAATAAACACTGGAACACAATCTCCTCCTGATGGAGTGTGATGTCTGCGATGTCTGATCTCTCGGGACTGGTGGACTCAGCGTTGAGGTAACGGAGTAAATGAAAGACACGAAACAAATGGATTGCAGCTGGGCTCTGCACAATGACTAAACTCCAGATTACCACCAGGGCTGCTTGTTGTCCGAGTCAACATCAAAAGACACTGAAGTTGGCTCTTTTGGGTAGGCTTTGCATGATAAGGGCTTCTCATAAATTGTCCAAATTATTAAGAAATCTGCTGTGACCTGACGGATATCCAAGTGTGTCTTCTACCTCAGGGCGTGAATTTAGTCCGTACACGAACCACTAAAACGACCAAATACATTTATTTTATTAAGTGCTTTCTTACTCATCCACTCGATGGGTCGTCAGCTTTATTAATGTTGGTTAATTAGGCTGAAGTCCCATTGATTCACGGGATCAATTCTTCTTCTTCTCATCATTATTAATTACCCATTACATTATTCTATTTATCTGGATATATTTATGTGTTTTTTTTTTTTCCTTACTTCAAATCATTACTTGTTGCAGCTCAAGGCAAACAGTTCACAGAGTATGATTTCAGTAAAAGGCAATGACGAGGGGAATGCAGGCGTGTATTATCTCTCCATTCTGAGCAGTTCAATAGTGGAGTGTTTCAACTGGAGGTGGGTACTGAACTCCCGATGACCATCTGTCTGTACTGAGTGTTGCCTATGAGGGTGAAGGGAGGTATGGAGGGGTGAATGAAGGAAGCTAACATCTGTTCTTTTCCTGGATCACCTTGAAGCTAATGCATGTTGGGGTACACGAGGGTCCCAGAGAGTTCATCCTGAACCCAGACACAGCATGAGACTCACCCAGCAGTGGTGTGATGCCTCTAGAGATGGTGTAGGGCACACTGAGGGACAGCAGCAGGTCGCAGATGACGGGGGCGGCCAGCCCTCGCACGATGAAATGGAGGTCAATGTTCCGGATACCGTTAGCATACACCTGAGGGAGAGTGAGGGCTGAGTTACTTCATACCAATGCCGGTTTGGATTAGTAGTGACATTTAGATTAGTTCTTCCAATATGCATCTAGATGAAGCTCTTTAAACGTCTTCATGTTGTCTCATCTATAAGGCGAGATGTCAGTGATTTGTCCGGTTTGGTTCTTGAGTAAGTGAAGCCAGCAGGATGTACGACTCACCTGCTCAATGACGGTTTTGAGCCACCACTGGGGGCCCATCAGCGTGATGGCAGCAATGATTTTAGCATGGAGCACTCCCAGGGCCCAGTCCTGCCACGCACAGAGAAATAAACAGTTAACGGCAGAGACACAAAGAGGTTTAACATCTGCTCAGTATCACCATGTGTCTGCTCAAGCTGTTCATGTGTCCTTAATGAGCAGGACGCTGAGTGGCAGCTGATATCCAAACTATGTGTTTGGATTTGTGTAGAAGAGTTCTGGTAGGTACCAAACTTTTCCATATCTGACCTCATAAAAACAGGCATTTTTTTCTTTCATTTAATGAAAGAAAATGTTTCGTGTTCAGGCTGTTAGTAATATTAAACACTAACAGCCTGAACACGAAAAGGTCCAAAAGTGGAACAGAAGAATAATAAACACAATCTGACCCGACATCGGGTTCTTGAGGTTTCCATACTCGGTATGTACTACATTTGTATTTAGGTTTGAGACCCACCGTGCTCTCCTAAACAGTCTAATCAGTTCTGAATCCATTAGATTTCGGATAGATGCAATCAAATGGTGTGTAAAATGTCATCACTCGTATTCACACACACACACACAATTTGGGGTACAACAAATCATAAAACTCACAGTTGGGATCGTTTAGCGGTTTTGAGTCATGGATTGGATCAGCACAAAAGAAAAAAGGGAGCAAATGTAACTTTTAGAGATCCTCCATCACGTTTCTCTGCTGCTGGTATCAACTGCTGATCGTTGGCGACACATTGGCAAATACAGACAGTTGTACAAGGCTCCAGACTAGAGTTTTACCCAAAACAATAATCTCTAAATGTTATCCGTTTATGTTGTTATAGTCATCTATAGGGCATTAGTAGTTTTAATTATGTCTTGAAGCAGCTTAGAGCTAGTGAGAGGAAGTTAAACAGCTCATTTTTCCCTCTCTTCAAACAACTGTACTCAAAACATTATTTCACACTATAATGGCAACATTTAGTAATTAATCTGCAGTTCACATGCATGGCGGACGGTGAGGGGGGGGGCCTACAGATCAACGATGGTCCGTTACACCACTACATACAATCGCCATCCTCTCACCTGCCAGGGGTAGAAGAGAGGAGTCTGGTCCAGTTGGACTCTGAGAGGAGCAACGACGACCAGCTCAAACAGCAGACCCAGCAGCAGAGGAATCACCCCAGCCAAGAGCACGGCCACCACAACGGTCTTCAGGATCTGTTTCCAGGCAGACATCACATCAGAATACAACCAGTCGCCACATATTGCGGTCAGAGCTTATTTTTTTTGGGGGGGGGGGGGGGGTTGGGAGGACCAGAGAGACACATTACCATGAGGGTCCACTCTTGGACTTTGACCATGATGATGGTCCGTCCCTGTGGCATCCAGGAAAGCATCACGGTGGCGCCTCGGATTGACAGCCAGCAGATGTACAGCCCACTGGCCGCTGTGTACAGCTCATGCACCATGGCACTGCCCATCCAGAAAGACATTAACCAGCGGCCCGCACACACTGGGGGAGAGGGAGAGGGGGAGACAGGCACGGCATGGAGGCGTAAAAGAATGACGCAGAAGGAGAAAAGTAAACGGTAAAAAGCAGAACATTTGAGCCCACAACTTACCCGGCAGGGTGAGGCAAATCAGACTGGCCAGTAGCAGCGTCACACACATAAAGGCCACCAGCAGAATGATCTAACCAGCAAGAAAGAACAACAAAATCACATCGTGTGGGGAACATGAAAAGCAGCACAGCTTTTAACAGCGGCAGAGGATAGGAGTGGATGAGAAGAATGACAGCTGGGAGTCACCTTGAGGGGGAAGTTGACGGGCCGGTGGTACGGCTGGAAACCCACAGGGCCGCCCTGCTGCAGAATGGCCTGATGAGCGGCGTGAAGCCCCTCCCCCAAGCCAGGCATCCTGTTGTTGTTATGGCGACCAGGAGGGTCGTTGTTTGGTTGGTGGTCCTCGTCTTCATGGTCCCCCAGCAGGTAGGAGTGAAGGTCTCTGTGGGGAAGGCCATCGACAATGTCGGCAAAGCGTTTCAGAGATGGACGGAGAATATGTCTGTGTGTGTGTGTGTGTCTCAGACATACAGCATGTATCCAGCTGTGAATGTCCAGGCGTGGACGAGGCCTTTCAGCCACTGGCGAGTGTGACCCTGCTCCAGCAACGCCGGCAGAACAACCTGAAGCAACAGCAGCTCAAGTGACAGCTCGCTGACGGGGGCGTCGCTGCAGACACAACACACGAACCAAACTCAAGTCCATTTATAAAACACTGTCAATGTAAGGAGAAGCAGACACTCTTAGTTGTGCCTTAGTTGAGACTAGACGATGTCGTCTTTAGCTTTGAGACACAAAGAGACGGAGGATAACTGGGTTTTGTCGTGTGTACCTGTAAAGCATGACGTTGTAGGGCAGGAAGGTTGGGAAGAGCAGTTTCATGATTCTGATAGGAAGCCAGAGCATCAGCAGAACTATGGAGCCAAACACCACCTGGAAACACACAGAAAGAAAGCAACAAACCAGTGTTTGTTAGCAGACGTGTAAAGTATCCCCGCGCTATCACACAGACGGACATGAAGTCACAACACGCATCGGGCCATCGTTCTGTCATTCACACAACGATTGTCCAACCCGGCACCACATTGTACCTCAGGACAATCCAGGTGTTTCAACTAAAAGGTTCCATCTGCTGGCTCTACTCCACCACCACCACCACCGGCATCCAGACCCAGGGGGAGTCTAGCTTTCTCCTTTGTTCACAGGCCCTACGCTGACTGAAGACGCATCACATCTAATCTAAAGTCCTTCTCCTCAATGCAAGTTATTATAAACTCACAATCAATCTCCTCACATTGAAATGTGCCTGAGTTGTCATTTTGCACATTTTAACAAGTTGAGACAGGTTTTTTGCTTTAACTTATCATGATAAAGTAAATGTTGGTTACATGCTGTAATGGCTATAGAATAATGACACCATCAGCATTTAGATTGGTTCCCTATAAGCCTCACTTTCATTATGCAATCCTGTCTGTCACCGGGTACAAATGTGTCAAACAAGCGCAACCACAACAGGAAGAGCCTGGTGCTTCTGTTTTCCCTGACAGCCATCAGTAGCTATCCCAGAGTAAATGGCAGATTTGGTTATTTGAATTGTAATATCACGCTTCAAGTTTTTTTTTTTTTCTGGTCTCTGAAAGTCTGCACAGTATTTATAAATGTATTTGACTTTATACAACAGCAGATCTGGCCACTGAGGAAGAGGTTTGGGATGGAACAGAGCAGGAGGATACTTGACTGACCACAGAGAGTATGAACCTCCGCAGGTGTCTGTAGATGGGCAGGTGGATCATCTCCTGGACTGGGTTGAAGTCTGGATCGTTCAGGTTCCTGAGGAACCACAGCACACCAGGCCGGAGCACCTACAGACGCAGAAACACGCGGGACATTTTTTTAAAAAGGCTGGAGATGGTTTCAGAGTTTCTTTTACACAAGTCGCAACACATCACTGTGAGCGGAGTCCTGCACCGACCTCTCGGAGCAGAAGGATGAAGGACGCAAAGTAGAAGACGTAGACCATGCCGACCAGCCAGTGGAGGAACATGGTGGTGCCGGGGGCCGAGTCAAAGCTCTGCTCCCTGTCTTTCAGAGTCGCATCAAACATCTCCTGCAACCACCAAAGGACGGCCTTTATTGTGTGTGTGTGTGTGTGTTCAAAACCAAGAACTAAATGTGTTTTTAAGAATTTGTCCAATAAATGTAATATTTTGAGGGTTTTTTTCAAAGTGAATCAAATGTCTTGATCAAATGTGGCCACTGGATGATCACGACTGCATTGCATTTGATTGGTTCGTCATTAAGAGTCAGTACGTGACGATATCAACGGGATCAAGTGAGTTTCTTACCAGCGAGCAAATGTCGAGCCACCAACCGCAAATCAGCGGGAACAAGCCTATCTCCATGACAACCAGCAGGGACACCTGAGATATATGAAAACACAAATTGAGTTTCTTTGTTCCTGTAATCAGAATGTACCCGATCATTACCGTTTAAACGTCTTTAACTTACCTTCACAACGATGTAGCAGACACCCAGGAGTCGTCTGGACCGCCGGAACTTCACCAATGAAGCAAACGCCTGAAGGAGGCGCGGTTAAGGACTGCCACCGGAAATGTGAGGGAAATTACATTCAGTGTGTACTTTAAGCATCTCTCAGGAGCACAGTTTGTACAGAAAGATGGAGCACTGACCTGACATTTAGGCTTCCTGTACGACAAGAAACATTTAGTAAAGTGTCACAAACACAAACAGCTCTACACAGCCATAATAAGCAATGCTACGGCTCTTTAAATATAACGCGCTGTATGCAGAGGATACATGGCAGACGATGAGAGCTCCAGCCAGGAGGATGTAACCCACTGTGGTGGTGACGAGGCCGTCAAAGTGTGACGCTTTGACCTGCAACCAGATAGAATAGCGTCATCAAATCAATCCCATCGCTGCATGTAAAAAAACAAAATAATAATAACAGCACGATCGATGCACTTACATATTCTTCAAAGCCCAGGCCGACCACTGAGAAATGGCCGATGTGATACGGGCAGAAAGCTAGAGGGAAGAATCTCTGGTTTAGTGGAGAGTGTACAAAAGGCACGCATGACTGTCTTTAGTCAATTCATTAATTATTAGTTTCATATAATAATAATAATAATAATAATAATAATAATGGCAAACCAAAGGCTTGATTGATTCTCAAAGGTAATGATTGTTTAGTACAGCCGCACTATGCTGCAGGTTGAACTCACCAAAGACCAGGATGAAGAGTGTGTTGAGAGACACCACCCAGAACACATGCTCCTAGAGAAGACACACAGGGATCGCAATATGTGCGACCCATCAGTAATAAATACTTGCATATGGTTATACATTCCCCTGGACACACAGTGATCCATTACAATGGTAACGGACGGTAGATCCCTATGCAGTTAGCCGGGGTGGCTATTCTAGAGCACTACTCTGAAATGATGCATGGAAGGATCTTGTTTATTTGGAAAGCTGTAGGGGGCTCGCACAGCTTGCCCCGATACATGACGCATCGCACGGTTCATCGTTTCCCTGGATCTCTACAAGGAAGGATGCGAGTGCAAAGTTAGCATCCACGGAGCCACATTTATAGGAAATATGCTCATTTCAGGCACACTTTGCATAAGAGTAGAAAGAGTGTGTGTGTGGACTTACCAGGAAAACTAGGGAGCCATCCAGCCCCAGCATCTGGGACACAAACAAAAAAAGCAATGTTATAATGATACTTCATGATACATATACCAGTTCCACTAACTGCTGCCATTATTAATAGCATCTGCAGCATCTACTAATACGACGAAGAACACATGTTTTGGGGGAATTGGAGACAAAAAAAAAAAAAAAAAAAAAAGAAAAAAAAAAAAAAAAAAAAAAAAAAAGAATAGATTCCCACCCTTTCCCAGGTCAACTCCTCTGCTGCACGGTCCCACTCCAGGGCGTTCCAGTTCAAATCTTCTGCAAAGAAGGAGAAGGAAACAACTGAAACAGCGGGGAACGCCTACAATGTGCAGAGAAGATATGCTTCTGTGGCTGCATTACCATGTAGGCTGTAGGCTTCTAAAGTGTATCCCACTTCTTTGGTCCTTGTGTTTACACTGACCTTGTCCTCCATTATTGGCTTCGGCAGCATCCTCTTCCCTGCCCTCCTCGTCGTCCTCGTCCTCGTCGTCTTCCTCCCCGTCGTCGTCTTCGTCCTCGAGGTCAGCCTCGTCCCCGTGGTTGCCGGCTTCATGCGGGTTGGCGGGCGCCTGTCCGTCTGGGCCAGCGTTTGCAGGCTGCGGGGCCTCTGCGGCGTCCGCAGCAGCCTGGGCGTTGACGCCGACGTTGCCACCTGGAACCTGTAGAATCAACAAACAAAAAAGACATATTACAGTTCCTAACCTACAGCGTAGCCAGAAGCGTGCTTTGCGAGGTCAAAACTAATTCACATCAGTTCATCCTTGAGTCCAGGTTGACGTTTGTTCCTAATTTGAAGGAATTCCCTGAAGGTGTTCTTGAGAAATCGCATTCACAAGAAGAGGTGGACTCCAAAATCTTATCTGTTTGCTCTTGAAATTTGAAAGAAATTTCATCAAAACAGATCAAACTAAGAATAAATGCCTTAACTAATCGCAAACTCCACTGGCTTATCATTTAAAGATATGAAGCTCCTGCTTCTGTGTGCAGATAGACGTCTCACTGATCTCACCTCGTTGGCTGGTGCTGGACCATTGGGCTGGTTGGGAACAGGAGGGGGCTGGTTCTGCTCTAACCACTGGGGGGCGCCACCGTGGACAATCTGCTCTCTGAGCCACACCAGGCTGATGAAGGCGCACAGCGTGCAAGTGACCACAAAACAGCCCTGGAGGCAGTCGGCGAGCAGGTTTTGCCTGTGAGGAAGAAAAGACGCACGACGGTGTTATCAGGTTGATCGCGGCACGATCACACACTATGTCGCTGCGAAGAGCTGGACGAAAGGGAAAGAAAAGATGGCGTGACGGATGGAAGGAGATTTTGTGAATAACCGCACTTCGATCACAGATAAGATCAGAACATTCAGTCTTCATGGGATTCCGGTCTATAAATATGGAGAACACATACAGCTGCAATAAAGAGGATACAGTGCGAGAGACCAAAAGGTCAAGATCAAGACCAGAGAGTAATTCAAACTTACGTGGAAAGCATATCTAATGGCAGGGTGAGGAGAGAGCTCACAGAGCCGGTGAACAAACACTTGTAGATACGACCTGTTAGAAAAGCAAAGAAACAAACAATCTGAGAATCTTTTCTGAAAAGCGACAACTGGTGTGAAACTAACTTTAATCTACTTTAAGTGCTTCTAAGTTTTAAACAAGTGCTTAACGGTCATTTTCTTGTCAACTATTGCCTAAGCTTTGTTAGAAGTTACACTAAAAACAGCCCGCAAATCTGATCAATTCTCCTTTCATTGATAATGACTTACATGCGGTGAGAGGCACCACGCCCAGCCAGGCGAAGGCCACCAGCGTGTAGTGGAACCAGTATCTGATCGCTGTTCCAATACTGGTGACCAGCCCTGCAAAGATGTCCTGCACAGGCAAGCGGGAGGGCATATCTGGAGAGTAGACTGGGGAACAGCGACGACGAACGGGTAGTTTAGAGGAGCCATCAACAAATGAATGCATTTTAGTGTACTGGTCCATTGTACTGACAAACAAACAACTTACTTGGTGTAAATGCAAACCTGTGCTTGCATAATTCACAGTATTCTTTCCTGCTGTGTTTCAACCACTGCAGTAAGCTGTGAAAACAAAAAGGACACCTTTGTGAGTTTACTCTTTTTTTATCCTACGTGTGCAGTAGTTCCTCCGTGGTTCTGCAGGAAAATAACACAACTTTCCCATGATGCTTCACAGCTGAAATGTAAAATACTTTCATTATGTCTGCTCGTTAATGTTGTTCAGATGTGTAATTAATTCTAAGCTGCCCGAGATAATTATTTTTGCCATGTTGGAATAAACATCAGCAACATCTGTGAAACAGACAGCAACCTGCCTTTAACCTTGTAGATACAATGAAAGGAGAGGAGAGAGGAAACAATGAACGCACCATTCCTGATGGATGAACTTGATGCTGCCGGTGCAGACACAGGGGTGGTAGAGCGGCTTGTCCTGGGAGCCCTCCGACCGGCACACGCGGCAGATGTCCCCTGCACAATAGAACATAACTTGATTTCATACTCCTGAAATATTCTCATTTCATCCACTAGGCACGCTGCATTTCTACAAATTCCCCTTTTGCAGATCACTAATTTAAATTAGTGATCTGAAGTTCTACCTTGATTCAGACTCATGACACTCCTTTGATGTAATGACAAATGTTTGATGACAAAATAAAAAATGCATGCAAGCTTTTTTGGAGCATGTGAAAGTTTCAGGATTTAAACATTTAGCTGTATTCCAAATAGGAACAAGTGACGTTACGCTACTTCACAATGCACACCTGGACGCAGAACACCAAGCTCCATGCCCGCACGTGTTGTCCAATATCTATCTAAATTAGTCCGAGCATAAAGACTTGAGGATGTTAACGATATTTCATATTTATACATGTATATGTCAGTGCGATATTGTAGAACCAGATTCGTGGATTGACAGGGTGATGTGTCACCGTTACATTAGCTAAGATAAATGATCATACTGTGAGTTAACTTACGTTACATTATAACGGTAGCGTCACACTTATTAAACTTATTATTAAACTTAATCTAGCGTTAGATAATAAGCTAGCTTGTTAGGAACGATTTTAAGGCGGCCGTCTTCTAGGATGTGAACCAGCACATCCCACTCGTGGTAGCTGTGGTGTTTATTTAAAGCAAACAGAAAGCTATCGCTGCTGACGTTTACCTCTTCACTTAACGGGTGCAGCTAATGCTAGCGTTAGCTAGCTAGCCAGCTAATTGGCTAGCTTAGCGGTTTCTTCAATACAAAAAAGTGAAACTTTGTCGGAGTGTAATACAATTCTGAACCGGGTCGTTACCACTGGTAGCGCGTAATAACGAGTTAGCATGTGATAAAGGCGTCGTGTGTATCGGAGTTGTTAGTTAACACGGACAAGTTGATCAAGTTTTAATATTAGCTACCTTCCTCAGCGGTGTCCATCTCGGCTAATGGGGCGGCCCTGCTCCACAGTCAGTCAGTGTAACAGCGATGACTGGTAGCCTTCTACATGTAAACATTTCAAGTAAGTGTTTAGCTCAAGCTCTGTCTATCTTTGGCGTGACCATACGTTTCATAATAAAACCTTTCCCCCCTCAGTGCATCAGCTGGCGGCCAGGACATGCTCAAAGACACAACTAGAGACTGTGCGGGAGTTTCACCACTAGGTGGCAGCCAAGCGCAACACACCTTTATTTATAAATACACAAAAAACAGAAACAGGATAAAGTGCAGGAGCTTTATGTAGAGGCTGTACAAAATAATGTGGTTGGCAATCTTCTGTCATTTGCGGACATTTAGCAATACCTTTGTCTTTTTGGAAATAATAAACAATTAAACTTTCTATTAATAATCAAGTCATGCCATCAATCATGGCACATACCATTTATTTCTACTTTCTCAAATCATTAACTTTTTATTCCTGGTCTGGTTTTGAGCCTCAAACATGTACCAAACATGAAATGCCTGACTGATTATTCCCCTGCTTTAGGCATGAGTACGCAGGTACCAACATGTGATGACAAATTAACAACAGGTGTTGACATTTATGTGTGTGAATCTGGTGTTGCCATTCTATGTTGCAGGTGTGATTTAAATGTCTTGGCGTTGTACACCCAAACGGTGTCTATGCCCTCCCCGGCGGTGTGTTCAGGCACCCAAGTAGGGAAGGGGAAACGACAGGCCACCACTTTGGCTGTGCTCGGTAACTCGCTTGCCAGCTTCAGCTCCAGCTGGTCCATCTGCAGATAAGGACAGCAGGAATCAGGACATCGAGAGTAATACTAAAACCGTACGTGGCAATATTTAAAAAACTCACCATTTGAGGGACTCCGAATATGACAACATTGGAATACTGAGCAAAACTGACCTAGCAAAAGAATCAGAAACATTCAGAGAGACATAGTGAAAAGACCTGTATGTTTAATATCACCTCAGAAAACATCAACTGCTATGATAAAATAAATGCATTCCCCCAAAATGTGGTCCCCACTTCTGATTCCTATGTTAATCAGGTATCACTGACCTTCCACAAGTCCGAGATGTGGAAGGAGGTGGAGCGGTGGACTCCCTCCCTCATGGCCTTGTAGCGAGAATACCACACCAGCCAGGGGTTCAGCTCAAAGCCTGACGCTTGAAACCCATGCTTGGCCGCGGCGATCACCTGCGCGGAGGAGGGAGGACGAAGGGAAAGTCCATGGATCAGCAACATAGTCTCAACAATGTGCAGCGGACTGTAGCAGCAGTTGGATGTAGAGCAAGTCTGGTGTTCATTTTAAGAGCACAACTCACACATAACATCTCAGTGAGGCTATTCAGTTAAGTAACTTCTTTTGAGAATTGAACTACTCTCCTACTCAAATTATAAATAAATATAAATAAACAATGGTGTTGGTGATATGCACATTAAACTGACTAAATCTCAATTTCCCTGTGGTGACATGTCATATTTCCCTTTTATCTATGATTTACACCTGATTCTACTCTACAGTAAGTATTTCTGGGACATTTTAGTCAGCATATGGAGCACGTTCCCAACACCATTGCTTATCTTGTTATGGTTTCATTTGTTTGGGCTCCACAGGGTAAGACAGCACAGCACTCACTATCCTTCCATCTCCACTGCCAATGTCCACCAGGGTCCCTGATCTGGCTCGCAGACTGCCGAGGACATTCTCCACCTGAGCCGTGGTCGCTGGGACGAACGGGAGGCAGACTTTTCTCAGGGCAGGAGCGAGAAACGGAGCAGCCACCGCGTACAGGGCGACCAGCGAGCCTCCCAACACGCCCGTGACAACGACACCCACGCGACTCACCCTGCTCCTTTTCTCCTTGACGTCGCTCTTTAATTGTCCCGCCACTGCAGAGTCCGGAAAAAGCCCCTCTTGTGACATGTTGCCAGCTTAACGGAAACGGTACACGTTATAAATACGTAACGTTCGCTAACTTTAGCTGAACTTGAACTGCACGAATGACAGCAGGGACTCTGCTATAGTTTAGCGACCCAATGTAAATGTCATGAATGGAATCTGTATTATTCAGTCCACACCTGCTCATTCTGCAAAGCCAAAAGCGCAAAGTATTAACAAAATAATTAGCCACTGAAAAAAAAGCAATGGTCCTGTTATTCGTGCATTCTAATATGTGCAGCGCTCTTTCTCATCCGACAGGGTGAGAAAGCCAAGCGAACGAAGGTTCCTCTCTGCCATCGTTCCCTGGTGAGTGACGTAAGTGCAAATCATTTAAAACGAGGTGACAGCCTACAAACACACACACGCACACATTGAATGACAATGCCATAGTGCCATGCAGAGTAAAGGGGGAAAAAAGATGTTTAATATAAAAATTAAACAGAGACAGCCATACAATCAACAGAAGAAAATCACCCAGAAGAAAACGGGACAAATCTAATTGAAAACACATAAATAAACATCAATAAATCCACCCAAACAAGGAAAAACAAACGATTAGATAATATATCCATTTACACAGCAACATACAATATAAGTTTTAAGCCAACTGTATTATATCTGCAAAACAGTATGTTTCTGTGTGTGCTGACTTCAGGCCTATGACTAATAGTATGTTTCCAACATATCCTGTCCTTGATAATATATATTCTGATTTGATTCTGGACCTATGCTCAACACAAAAACCTGGAATGGCCTAAGAGTTGCAACATTTTTCTTGCTTTGGTGGTGCCATGATGTCCACACAGATAGAAAACACTATGACACATCATTCATAAAAATATTCTTAAATATAAACAAGGGGCACAAAAGGGTCTGTGATGCTTTAAAATGTGTGGGAATTTAATTATCTCAGTGTGCTTGGTTATAAATCCTCCTTTGATCCGTTCCTGTCGAATCCTGACTTTATTTCCCTGACACTCCCACATCAAAGAAAAGTAATATTCAAAACAGTTGCACCAAAACTCTACGGCGGAGAGATATTTTATTATAAATACTAGTGAAAAAAAAAATCAACTAACAAGAGCTGTACAGATCAAGAGTAATTCATATAAATCAAACTGAAATCTATTAAAAACAAAAAAAAAGTCAGGGTTGTCACATCCCCAGATAAAGAATCAAGGTGATGACCTCCTTTCACCCCTATATCTTAATTTGTCGCCTTCTATTAGAAGTCGTTGGACAGTGTACGGTGGACAGCGTGATCCAGCCCTGATGCGCCTCTGTGGATATGATGGTGGTGCATGTAATGCTGGCTGGTGGTGGCACCATCATCCACCAGCGCATCCTCCTCCTCCTCCTCAGCCCTGTACCCCTCCGCCCCGTCCTGAGAATAGCTGTGCTTCATCACCAGGATGCTCCTTCGTCCCGTCGGCGTGGTGTGGTGGGAGAGGCGTGGTGACTGCTGGCCCACCATCGTCGGCGGCAGTGGCGGCGGCGAGAGAGCCCCCCCGTCGGCCGCGATGGTGGCGTCCCTCACGTTCAGGTTGCTGCGGCTGCCGTGAACGCTGCCGTGCACGCTTCCCTGAAAGGAGCCGCAGTGGTGGTCGCGGATGCACTTGGAGGAGGAACGGCGGAGCTTGTGGAGCTTCTCGTAGTCCTCGGCCATGGCGGCGTCAGTTAGGTCGCCGGACGGTGCGCGGCGCATAGTGCAGAGCTCGTAGTGAGGGGGCTCAGAGCCAGGGTGGAGGAGGGCGGGGTCAAAGTCATCTCTGTGGAAAAGAAGAGACAAACACACAAACACACACACATATGATGCACACAATGTCAAGGAAAACACAACCAAATCTGATTGTAAGTGTCCAGACGCTAACAAAATATGTAGTTAGCTCTACGGGCCTGTGATTTGTGCACTCATGCACTTTCTGAACTGCACTCGAAAGAATTTTGTTGTTGACAAACCATTTAAATTCAGCAGCATCTCACGAAATCTAGCCAAACAATCTGCTTAAATTAGCTAGTTGAAATAGCAGGCTCCCAAATTTTTCACATATATTTTATATATTATTTACACAATAAGAACATAACATAAATTGGCCCTTTAGTTATTGTTTTACTGAGTAAAACAATAACTAAAGAACCAATTTATTTAGTAAAAAAGTAAAATATACTCAAATAGGAACTGGTTACGGTAACACCAGATTGTTGAGGTTAAGCTTTTGTCCACAAGTTATCAAAGATGTTTTTATACATTTTTAAAGCTGCATTAACATTTTGTTTTTTTTGCTAATTGGGGACAGTGGAAAAAGTTTAAATAAATAAATTTGACCTAAATTTGTTTGCAAAAAGTTTCCAAAACAATGAAATGAAGCTAAGAACTAAAGAGAATTTACAGAAAGGATTGCCACTATCGACCCCTTTTACTTTAAACGTAATCATTAGCAGTGGTGGAAGAAGTAATCAGATAAATAGATCATAAGTAAAAGTAGTAATACTATAATGTATATACACTGTTGAAAGTAAAAGACCTGCATTCAAATTTTACTTAAGTAAAAGTAGTAAAAGTATAGAAATATTAGCATCAAAATACACTGAAAGTAAAAAAAACTCTTTACGCAGAATGGCTCAGAATATATAATATAATATACATTATATTATTATTGATGCATTTATGTGTTTATCTTTATATACTGCTGTGTTGCTTAAGCTAATATAATACATTATAACATATTAGTTGATTACACATTTCTTTAAAAATCTGAATGAAATCTCACCTGCGGATGATGTATTTCTTGCGTGGCTGTTTGACCTGGATGATGACAGAGATGATGAGCAGGATGACAACCAGGCCACAGGTTACAACAATGATAGCGATGTTAGTGTTATCCAGCGTGTCCAGGATACTGGCTTTCCTCTTTTCTAGTTAGGGAGATAACAGAGAGAGGAATAACTTATATGTTCAGCCGCAGTATGGCTGCTTTCTCAGCCTTTGTGTCAGGGTACCTTTGCAGTGATTCTCGTCCCATGGGTAAACACAGTTCTGGATACCGTTGCAGACCAAGGTGTGGTTGATGCACATGTTGCTATGGCAAAAGAAAGTTTCCTGTTCACAGGGAGCTGAAAGAGAAAAGGCAAGAGTCATGCAGCTATACACAGCAGACTGAATTGTATTCATTAGATGATATTCAGTGGATCAATTTGCTTGTGTAATGTACTATTATGTAATATTTCATCCTTGTGCAGAAGTGTACATTGCTGTTTACCGCTCTGTCACAGTGGACATTACCACCAGATGGAAGTAGGACATTTTTCAAAATTGCTTTTTGTTTTTTTACTTTTTTAGCTTGGCCAATGGGACGCAGCAAGTTAAGAACACACCACACATTGACATTGTCTCTTTATAAAGTTGCTTTCACACCAAGCACAGGTTTTTGTGCTAAAAAATGATTTTATGGTTTCCTATGAATGCCTGCACACATGTGCAGAACTTGCTGGGGAAAAATATTTCCTTGATTTCAGCGGATTTCCACATCTTTGACCATGAAATACTTTGTTGTAATTAATGTCATAAAAAATATTGCAGTAATAATTATCCATGTGCTTCTGTTTGTTGCACGGAGAGTATGGATTTTAGGAGCAATGGTCGTTTCTTTTCAGAGTTAATGCACCGCCGGACAAATGGGCTGTCTGCCCAATGGCATTTTTTTTAGACTATTGGTGTTTCGGAAATGTAAGGACGATTGGAAATAAAGATCAGTATATGGCTGGAGATCGCCTATCAGCTGAGTAACAATGACGATGGTAATGTCGGTGACATGCACTTGCTAAAGTTATATGTTGGTCACAGAACGGGGCTAGCCACAGAATCTAACATTAGCTTCTTAACATTCTCTGTCTGGATAGGTTTTGGTTGTGTGAGTGGAAAAATGGACGAACCGGAACCGGTGTGTGTATTGCAGATTTGCTGTATTCCCACACCACATTTTCGACTTGCACTGGCGAGAAACGGCTTTTTGTCTCCATCATCTGAGGGAAGTAATAAATAATGGCTTTTTGACGGCTAAATGCTCCGTTATGTTCATCAGCTAGTCACAAATGTTGTCTCTTCGCCATTTAGTGCTGGTCAGGTAACATACAGTTCATCAAAGTTTTTTTGCTGAGGCATGGTTGATGACCACGGAGTCTGCAGGCTGTTAAACCAAACAATTAACTATAACAACCAATTCAAAGCAATTCACATTGCAATTAGCCATTTAATCCATAGTTAATACAGAATATTGATTAGTGCAGCAATACGTTTGAAAATTGTTGTATAATTGAATGAAGGATTTCTACTCTCACATATGGATGGTGTGCGCCTGCAAGATAAATGGAGATGTACTCACGCTCATGGAAAGTTGTAAAGAGGATCCTGAATTTGCTCTTCCTGCTTCCCTCATCTGCCCACAGTCTCACCACGCCCACAGAGGAGACCAGCATGACATCGTTGGCCACCGTGGAGCAGAACTTATTCTTCAGGTGCTCAACCGAGCTGCTGCCGTCGTAGATGGCAACGAAGTTCCGTTTGCACTCATTCGAGTTGTGCATCTCATACTCCAGAAAGCGCATGTAGATCTGTGGGTAAAAGGCTTTTCAAAGGAGTATTCCACATTTTTTACAACAGCCAATTCACCTTCCGCTAAGCCCCGCCCCCGCTGCTACAGCCATCAGCCTGTCAGAGCTACCATGGAGTGCACACTGTCACTAACTGCACTCCCTGAGGAAATATCACATTTTTGAAAAAAGGGATTTCTGAGAGAAGCAGACAGAAGGATCTACAATATGAATTTTAAAGATCCAGGATGTCTGATTCATCAGCAAAAACAGGATAAATAAATAAAAATAGAAGCTAAAGCCTACAGATTACAGTGTAAAAGTGAACCAAAACATTACCTGGGGATCGGGACAGAAGACAATGAAATTAAGTTGCTGTAAAGCCTGGTAGCTCTTTATTTACTGTTACAATCGTTATAAGGCTAAAGCAGCATATGTGGACATTCAGTATACCTTCAGTAGCTAGCCTAGAATAGACGTGCTAACGCTAGTTAACGATGTGCTAAAAGTGGCGTTTGAGAAACGTATAAGTTTGACTAACTTGACCAACTTTAAATCCACTATACCAGCTTGAAAATAAAGAAAATGTTAAACAACTGCATGAGAATCGACGGAGCAGAGCCGGATAATTGTCGTACCCTGGTCAGAGCTGGCCGATGCTATGCTATGATTGACCAGTCTGTGTTTGAGGGGCGAGACTTAACGAAGGGTCAGTTCACCTGTTAACACAGTGACACCAAAATTATCCCTCATTCATTTTATGGCTTTTGGTCATATGTTATCAATTTAGCAACATTTGAGCAGAAGATCGAAAAATGTTAAGTACATAATATAACGTACAAGGAATGCGTTGGAACTACTCATCGACTCATGAGAGGCTGAAAATTGGGGGGAAAATGTTTTTTTGTTGTTGTGAGATGGACAAGAAGGAAATTTGATTACTTGTTTGAATTCTGTGAAATGTTAGAAGTGCTTTTGGTCCAACCTCCCCTTGTCCAACCACTTAAAGTCAAATTTACAAAGAAGTGTAAACCACAACACACATTTACATGTCACACCACCACCACATAACAACACCAACAACAGTTTGACATACATATACACACCCTTGATTTTGGTGGAGCCTTGATGTACCACCTGCAGTCCACAGCCTCAGTCGGCAGCGCCCGGCTCTCCCCGGCTATCTGGGCAGATTCCACATAGCCTTCTGGACCGCTCAGCTCAAAATCACAAACTGTGGATAACAACATTTTTGGGTATATCAATGTGAAATTGTAAAAAAAATGGTATGCTCAATATTATCCCTTCAGCAAAAATGAGGACTTAGTCACATAATATAAATGTAGGTCAACATCTGTATGAAGACATATAGCTGGTACTGTTATCCACAGTTGGCAGTATCTGCATTTAACCTGCAGCAGGTCCAATAGGACATTGTAACATAATAACATAAATTAAATACTCACATGGCAGAGCTGGCAGTTCCCCAAGACCGTTGAACTCCGGATCTAAAAGCAGAACATAATATGTTTCCAAACAAATAAATCTTTGGAACATTTACTCAAGTCTCTCCACAATCAGGATGATCACATGAAAATGAAACAATTTCAAACTCGTACTCCACATGTATGGAACATAAAATGCTTCTCACATTGTTATTGATAAGGGTGAGTACCGAATGTGATCTCTTTATATTGATTTAAACCTGGATGTTATTTAAAACTGCTCATTTGAAAGAATATGTGAACCTGCGCTGAAGTATTCGAAATGCGTGCATGCAATATTCACCGCAGTACATTTAGTCTGAGAATAGAGAAAAATAATCCGGTGCCCGAAAGATACCACAGAATAAAAATGATAATATTAAAGACATATTGCAAAACAAAATCACAGCTGGCCAAGGCTTACACATAATCTATGTACCAACTCATTTCCCCTGCTCTCATTTAAACTCCCCAGATGCCCTTCATCAAAAAACAAAGAAAAACACACACTATTTCTTTTCCCTGTCTCGCAGCATGCGACAGGGAAGGGAAATTGTGTTCTAAACCTTTGTGCTGATGAATCTACTTGCGAGGTGGATTATAAATCCTGATATACTGGCTTAGTTCGGGACGGATTAGGCCCCACCAGTGGCAAATCACTTCTTTTTTGTTTTCTAAATTCTCCTGAAGACACTTAGTTTGACATTGGGTGAGGGGACACTTCAAAGAAACAATTAAATACCAAATAATACAACATATACAATTGACACCCAATCAAATACAGGAAGGAAATGTGCTTTAAAGGACACAGCGTGGAATGGAGAGTGAGTTTATTTGTTTATTTTCCCACATCATCAATTTTTGTCATTGGTAATGCAACACATTGGTCAGCAGCTGTGGTATAAAGGAGCAGCTGATGGACTCAAATCGGAAAAAGAGGACTCATTAATCCCTTCATGTTTCTTAGCCCTGCCTCTGCTTCAGCCTTGTCCAGATTATTCACAATCATTCCTACATATAAGTGTGTGCCACTCCCACAGGCTGTATACCCTGTAAGATATAGGATGGTTGATGTAAATCAGTTCTAAATATCTTCATATTATTCAGCTTGATTAAGGTGTGTGGTACAAACATACTCTTGACTATTGGATGTTTCATTTTCCAGAGGATGCAAATAAGAACAAAGTTACAAACCTAGTGACTAGGTTATATATTTAGGTTCTGCTAAATGACTAGCGCGCACACACAGATGTGAGCATAAACTGGAGGAACACATGCAATAACAATAGGAGTCTGCTAAAGTGTAAGCAATGATAGCATTCAGTAGCTGTTGCACAATGTGTTTGCAATGTCTAAGCTAGCCAACATTAGACATTAAAAGCATTTTGCTGCAATTTGCAGAGCAAAGTTTTTGTTTTTTTATCTTTTGCTCACACAACATATTAACTTTCATATTAACATACGAGGAATTAATGTTGCTGAGTCATTTTTCTGGGGACGGAAAAATAATGTGTTCATGCTCTGTCACATTGTTCACAACTTGCGTAACAAAACCTGATTAATGCTTAATGCAGTGTGCATTGACCCTTTCAAACTACTGCAGTTTAGACCAGTGATGAGTAGAATTAGACAGGAGATTAGCTTTTTGGCATGGGAGACGCTACATTTGATGTAAACAGACGAAAGCAGCTTCTCCTGATCTGCCAATTATCAAAAGTATCTTATTTAAGGAATAGTTCATGTTTTTAGGAGCCTATTTATTGTTTATTTTTGCTATGTTTGTTGAAAATTATTGACAGCAACCAATAAATCAAATGTTCTGTCAAAAAAAGAGAAAATAATCCGGTCTCTGTGGCTGTCACAAGACTGTATTAAACCCATCCAATCATTTGATCCGGCTCGAATTAAATAATTGGATGAGTTAGGGTTAGAGTTACCTGCCAGTCGATTGCCAACAATTGCCAAGTTGTTTACGTTCATAATGATACATTTGGGGGAGTGGCTTTGGAGGGAGGCGGTCAGTGTTGCCGACTTTGCGACTTTGCCGCTTGATTGAGCAATATTTGGAGCTAGCGCTGCTATCTACCTTCATCGTAAAAGAGTTGGCAATGCCAGGTTTTTTCTCTTGGATAATTCTTCATGTCCAATCATTTCTCAAAAAATATAAATGCTTAAGTATGCTTAGTAAATTGTTAACACTGGAAGGTAAGATGCCCTGCAGAATTTTGTGTAAACAAAATCAGCGCCCAAAGTCGCAAAGTCGGCAACACCCCCC